TGAAATTCAGACTGATTTCTGGCTGCAAGTCCCAAGTTGAGCTCCCTGTCCTCCTGCAGGATTGAACTCTGCAAGGCTCTACTGCAGGTTCCAGCCACCCTAACCCTGAAGATAGTCCAGGTTCTGATGGGAGGTGGTGATCCCTCTAACTTACTAAGTATGGTGGTCTGGTGTGCCTTTATTGCAGAGATTCTCTTCACTTTTCCAGTGGGCTTCGGTTTTCATCAGGGAGCCTGAGAGAGGCCCTCTCTCTGTTGTTCACTTCTGCAGCTCAGGACAATGGCCTTTATGTCTCCCAGTGCCTCTACAGTGTAGAGCCAGGTAGCTGCACAGCCAAGAGGCCAGAGTCGGGGGGTGGGGAGGGGGCTGTTGTTGCAGGCTCCACAGGGCCACGCTGGCAGCTGGTGGGTGTGCCTGGGCACCTATTGATTTTTAAAAGTATTTATTTATGTTGTTTTCTTGGTTACACATAAAATAAATGATGATTTCAAATATAATGAATCAATTCACATTAATTTTTAAATTCAGCAATGCAGATGTTTCTGGGATTTAATCATCCCCTTTCTCTCCAAGGGAAGAAGCAATGCTGTCCACGTACTTTGAAACCATCAATCGAGTGGTCTGATTCTTAAAAGTTCCTGTTTCTTAAAAGTTCCACCTCATCAACACTACCACACTGAGGACCAAGCCTTCAGCACAACAACCTTTGGGGGGACAAACGATATTCAAACCACCATCCACTGTCAATCCACCACCCATCATCCACCCATCCATCCATCCATCCACCATCCATCCATCCATCCATCCATCCCTTTGTTAATTCTCCCATTCACTTAAGAGTTATATTTGAGGGCCTACTATATCCTAAGACCTGTGTTTATTGCTGTGGATACAGTAGTGAGCAAAAATGGGCACAGTCCCTGCCCGCATGGAGGTTTAGTCCACTGAATGAAGGACACTGAGTGCTGTGAATTTTTTAAAATTTGTGATAAGTTGATCAAATCTGGTTATGAAAAGACACATCTGGAGGTCATGTGAAGAGCGAACTTGAGAAAGGATAAAACAGGGGTGAGCTCTTATTTTGGAGGCTGGGGCAGTGGTCTCAGAATGGGATAGTAAGGAGTTCAGCTAGGGCAACGTAACTGAGCACACAAGCCTCTGGCCACTGAAGGCTGCTTCACTAACTCACTTCGGAAGTATATCAGAAGAAGCATGGTACAGCAGCAGTTAAGAGCAAGTGCTTCGATGCTGCATCTGGGCCTGCCACTGGCTACCTGGGTAATGTTGGAAATGTTATTTCATCTCTGTATCTGGATAGCCTCAACTCTATGAGTACTGGTGGGATAGTGTCCCCCAAATTCACATTTACCCGGTACCCATGAATGTCCCCTTCTTTGGAAGTAGAGTCTTTCCAGATGTGATTCGTGAAAGTGAGGTCACACTGATTACCATGACTTCCACTTCATCCAATGTTTGGTGCCCTTGTACAAAAACAGAGACACAAAGGACACCATGTGACATTGGAGAAAGAGACTGCAGTGATGCTGTCGAAGCCAAGAGGTCTTAAGGATTGCCGCCAGCCGTTAGAAGCTGAAGAGGTAAGGAAGGGTGCTCTTGCACAGATTTCAGAGAGTGCACGGCTCTGCCAACACCTTGAGTTTGGACTTCTAGCCTCTGGTCTAGCTCCTGGACTTCAGAATCATAGGAGAATAAATTATGTTGATTTAAGCACTCCATTTGTGTGCATCTGTTGCATCAGCCATAGGAAAATAGCATGTAAAGTTGTGTTGAGTGTTAAATTTGTTATTGCATGCAAAGTGCTAAGAACAGTGGCTGTGCAGGGTGTGAGCTCAGTAAAATGCAAGCTATGGTTAAAATGTGCTTGGCACTGTTCTTGGCGCTCTCCTGTCTAGACTCACTGGGCCAAGAAACTATCACACTGAACCAATTGTGAGCACTGATGTGTGGCTGGTATTTGGCTAGATGGAACTGATGCTGGGCGATATCCTTATCAAGAGACCTTTGGGGGAGATGGTGCATTTCCTGGGGGGGTCCCACGATTTGATAACCAGCACTGCCCTCTTCCCCTCACTCCATACCCTTCTGTCCCCTGTAGGGCACAAAGCCTCCTGTTTCTCTACTGCATCTCCTGCTTTCTGCAGGAAAGCATCTCTTAGCTTGCTAGAGCTGCCTAAGAAAATACCATAGATGGGCAGCCCTTGAACAACAGAAATCTATTTTTTCACAGTTCTAGAGGCAACAAGTCCAAGATCAAGATATCAGCAGGTTGAACTTCTCGTGAAGGCCTCCCTCCTTGGCTGGATGATGACGGTCTCCTTGCTGTGTCTTCCCATGGCCTTCCACCTTGTGCAGCCCTGGTGTCTTCTGTAGGTATACAAATCTCTTCATAAATGTGCCAATCAGAGTGATGAGGGCTCACCCTACCAGACTCACTTAAATCACTTTTAAAGGCCAAACAACATCATAGTCTTGAGATGCCGGGGATTAGGATTTCAACATGTGAATTTGGGGAGGACACAATGTAGTCCATCACATTCAAGTTGTTCAGGACAGGTAGAACCCTAATACTCGGTCATTGTGAGGGAGCTCATGGCTCACTGTAGGAGGGCCGTATGGCTCAGGGTCAAATAATTCAAGTACTCTCCCTGGCTTGGCAGGAAGTGGGTTATGAACACAGCATGGGGCTCCAGTGTGGTTTCTGGTGGGGTGGCTTGGGGAGGGGCACCAGGACACTGCAGATGGACAGGCCCTGGTCAGATCCCTTGTGCTAACTGCTTCTTTCCATGTCTGCACCCTCTCTAGACTGCTGTCTTCTGAAGGCACAGACCCCTTCTCTCTGTTTGTGTTTGAATTCCTCAGTGCCTGGCACATAGTTAGCATATTTGTGGAAGAAACAATTCACTTTGATAGCCTTTTCCCTATGCAAAAGTTACTTTCTGTATAGCGAGAGCATCTAGAAGCCTTCGGCCTCCTCCCATCTTGATCTTAAAGAGGCCTGGTCTTTGCCCTTTGATGTGTTCGATGCTTGCAGACATGGGGATAATTTGGTGAAGGGTTACCATACACTGAGCACAATAGGGAAGGTTGGCAAGGTCTCCTGTGAGTCTCATGGAAGCCCTGGATGCTTGGGTCATTTCAGAGCTGCAGCATCCACCTCTCAGAGCGGTGGACTCCCTGGCCCTGTGTCTCACATCTGGTTAGGTGACTGCTGGGCCAGGCTAGAAAGCCAGGTCTCTAGTTACAAAGCAGAGGTCCTTAACCACTGATATTTCATGGCTTCAGACTGGTCCTGCCCCAGCTTTGACAATGCCTGCTGTCTTTCAGAACAGGAGGACAGCCAGTCGTCCTAACTATTTCAATTGAGTGTCCATGGAAAACCTGGAGGCTTGACTCATGAATTAACTGCAAGATAGACATCATTAAGTCAGCAGGACACTTGCTTTATGAAATCCGTACTTAGAACCCATTACACTAGAGAAGAAACTTCCATATACCCCCCGTGTGGTCTTCATTTCTGTTTGTTTCAGCATTTGTTTCTCTATGGGGACTGGCAGGGTGTCTGGATCCACACATGAAGAAGAAAAAAAATCCACAAAGAAAACTGCTTTGTAATTTCTTTGTCAATTAGACTTGAACTATGAGATTTTTCTTTTCCCCTCCATTCTTTTTCTTTTCTGCCTTCATGTTTTTAGCCATTTTAAAAATTGTCTTCGCATTGGTGGTGAAGCTCTGATGCGCTGAAGAGAGTTTGGTATTCAAGATCTAAACACAACGGGGTGACTTGAGGACAGGGTTTCAGCTTTGCTTTTGACTCTCCTTGGTTTTGTGGGTTTAAGTTAATGTTATTTGAAAGTTTTTGTATGTGTGTGGTTGAATATATACTATAACTTGTTCTTTTGTGACAACAAGATTTATACTGGCGGTGTCTCTCATACCACTGGAAACTGGAAGGAAACCTATAATGCAAGGCTCTGAGAGTTTTAAAAAGACAGTAGCCATCGTAGGGCTCTGATGGCTTCAAGCTGCCCTTGAGCCCAGGGACAGGCTAAGCTCCCTCCCGGCGCGCGTGGGAAGGCAGCAAGCACATGGTCTGTCAGATATTTAATATATCACATATGCATTTGGATGCATTCTCCACCTTCTTAATTAAGATTTCTTCAGCAAGACTTCAGTAGAGACAGAAACTAAGCTGATGGAATTGTATTAAATACCAACTCACTTCCCAAGTTTCTTACTGTTTTATTTTTTTCACTTAAGATGACTTGGCTGGAGAGGTGGAGGGATTTGAACAAAGTATAGACGCTGGCATTCCATTTTGTGTATCATTTTGGCTCCAGTGGACGGCTCCCGGTAAAAACGAGCCTGTGAGATGTAGCTGTTTTATGGAAGGGCTAACAATACTAGTCTTTTATAAATCACAAATCCTCTTAACCTCAAACAGTTTGGAGCCACCAACTGTAATCTATAAGGTTTCAACTCACAGAGATTTTATTACTCCTTGGTGCCTTTCAGGCCATTAGGCAAATATTTATATGAAGCTCTCAGCTATTAAGAGATTTAAAATCATTTTGTATGCAACAGAAGCTTCCAGACCATACCCTCTCAGTTAAAGATTTTGATACAGGTTTTGTGCTTTGCCTGTTGGTGAGTACTTTATGTAATTTTGACAGCCATTTGATTGAATTTCTTTGAGACATAATTTGTGCTAGATAAATCCTAGACACCTCTCTCTCTCTCTGTCTCTCTCTCTCTGTCTCTCTCTCTCCTTCTGTCTTTCTTTTATGGGAGAATGGCAAGGTGGACAGATTATCATTACATAATTCTTGCTTTTTCTGCACTCAATGCTTATTCTTTTGAAATTAAACAGGACTCAGTGGCAGTTATTACTTATTCTCTAGCAAATAGGATCCTTTAGCACAAGCAAGAGTCACACTCTAGGAAACTTGAGCACCAAAGGAATTTCCTGGGAAGATGTAGGTACTTACAATACCAAGGAGGAGGCCAAAGATTTGACGTGATGGATAGAGTGTGAGCTTTTCTAGGGGCTGGGCAGCAGGGGCTTTTAAACAGGCCCACCTGGAAGCTACTGTAGAGTGGGGAAGCCAGAGACCCCCACCTGGGGAACCCCACTTCATTCCCATCACTGATTCTTCAATGGAGACCCACAGCTGTTCCAGAGGTGGACTCTCATTAGCCCAGTGTGGTCACATGTTCCATCTTTGCCCTCAGGACAGTGAAGCAGGTTTATTCAGACACCCACAGGCCCCAGCCATCCATGCAGCAGAGTCTCTCTGAAAGGAAATAGGACATTGTTAAGAAGAAGAACTGGATGTTAGGCAGCCAAGCCCAAATGCCTGCTCCTTGCCTAATTATATGCTTAGGGAAATAAGCAAAATATCCCCTTTTATTCTCAAACTTAATGCAGGAATTCCAAGAGTTTCAATAAATTTATTTTCAAATTAATTTTTTACCTCAGTGAGAGGAATCTGATCATCTCAGATTCAATTTAATGAAACAATTGTGAAATCCTTTGGGTTCAAAGTGGAGAGAGTCCTGGAAACAATACTCTCGATTCAATTCCACACTGTCAGTTGGGCAGTGGGGAGGAAGGAATGGTCCCGGGTTTCCTCGAAGTGCTAATGAAAGGTAGTGGCTGAGCCTGGGCTTCACACTTTTATATGCTTGTTTATTATGAGCTATTTAACTTTTGCAGCTTTATTAAATGCTTTACAGACAGGTTTAGTTCATGTTTAAGTACAGCTTTGTAGGATGGCCACATTTGGCCAAGCAGCCCGACAGACTAGCAGCAATGTTTTGCAAATATTCTGGTAAGCAGTTTCGGGGTAAATTCTGGCTCCCTGTGACATTTTGAGGGGTGGGGTGGGAGTGGTTCTCTTCAGTAGAACTGGGCAGAGCTTGTGATTATGAAGGGAGAGAGAAGGATGGAGAGAAGCAAAGGAGAAGCATGCGTGACGTTCTCATTTCTTTTTGATGTAAAAAGTGAAGTAAGATACAAATTTCATAGAGTTCTCCTTTGGATCAAAATGAGCTTTAGAATAGGAAACCCTGATGCTAGGAAACCCCTTGAAATACCTGTGGCTGTTTTAAATACATTTTACAAAATTAGAAATAATGTTTCACAATATTTTTATTTCACCCTTAAAATAAAACTATATGATGGGTAAAAATAATAATTGCTACCATTAGGCTGTTCTAAGTCTTGTCTTAAGCATTTCACATGCAATATCTCATCTAATCTTTATAAGACTATGAGTAATAATTTTAATTCCATTTTATAAATAAAGGAATTCAGGCTTAGATAAGTTTCTCAAACATCTGACTCTATGTGCAATCTATTTATCACTCTATCATAGAGGTCTCCCTACCTGATAGTCTGATGCTTTGGTCATTCAAGTTATCAGCTGATCTTTGAGACATCTGTTTCTTATTTTTCCACAGACAACATAACTCTTCAGGGCAAGCATTGGGTTAATAGTCACAGAGCTATTTATTGGCACTCTGAAATTGCCCTGTGAATACTTTCTGCTTTTGTCTTACTTTAGGCCATTATGATCCTGGAAAAGAGCACTTATCTCTATATTCTTATTTCTGTTTTGCATCTTTCCTGGGAAATCAAGCTTTGCCCAAATTAACATGGTGAACTTGAACTTGAACTTCTCTCTGCAAAGCAAAAAATCCTTTCTCCTAGCTATTTGGAAATCAAAGTCTCATGCGAGGGATTCCTAAATCCTTGTCCAATTTTTATCAAGAATCCAAATTATGAGTTTTCTCCCCAGTGTTGTTCATGTTGCAATGAAGAATTCAGCTAAAATTCCAGTCCTTTGTCTTAGACAGTTTGTCATTGTGTAACATCCCATGTGTTTAGAGGATAACATAACATCAGTCCCATCATTAATCGAGAGCTTACAGTATGTCAGAGGCTGGGCCAGGGACTTTGTAGGTCATTGCATTTTGTTTAATTGTGACTACAGCTCTAGTTTTGAATATTATCCTGCTGCTTTTGCACATGAGGGTGCTGAAGCTCAGAATGTTTCAAAGGCAGACTTGGGTTTCAAGCTTAGGTCTTGGTCTCCGATATCCAGTGGCCTTTACCCTTCTCCATGTAGACTTCAGCAAGATTGAGAAAGGTCCCTGGGAATGTGCCAGCTCTGCTCATAGGAGAAGTTTCCCAAAGTATTATGACATCTCAGTGGGAAAGACACTGTGGAGAGATACTCGTGATGGGTTTGATTTCCTGGGCTTTGATTTATCAATAAAAAATTCCCCCATATGATATTCCTACTCTACTGCCCCTTTTTCCTTCCTAGAGAGCCTGAAAATCCTCTCTTGGTGATTTCAGCCCCTA